TAAATTCATTGTTCCCAATATATTGAGAAGAAATCGATAGTTCTCGATGTATCGATAGGTATCGATATATCGATGTTTTTGAAATTATATATCGTTATTCGATATATCGATATTTTTTCCCAGGCCTAACGTATACTAACACTCATATATTCTCAGCATATATATGAAATGTATACATTAAACAACTAGCAATGTGAAATGTAGCATAGTGTTTTGTAGCATATTTGGGTCAAATAAATAGACTTTAAAGCAGGTTCGTAAAAATTCAATCACAAGATGGTCGGTTCGGTTCGCATCTCCACCGGAGCAAACTTTTTCTCAATTTCCTTCCTTCTCCTTCAATATACTAGGAATATTATCAGAAAATTTAAAACAGTCCATTTCGAATGTTCATAGAATGTCCCTAGAATATTTGTATGATGTGAAAATATTCAAATATTCTCGAAGAATATCCTATGGACGTTCTATGAATGACATCTGGGTATGGTTCGTTTTCAAGTGTTTTAAAACATGATAAGATAGGAAGCGGTGAACTGGAGCAGGGCTGTTCAGGATGAAAATAAAGCTGTAGTTTTCTGTTGCCGTTACAATAAAACAAAAGAGCGATAACACCTCGAGGCTGAATTTGAAGAATTATAATAATAATAATAATGATAGTATACATATAATAATAATAATAATAATAAGACGGTTGTCTCTGGAGAAAACTTACAAGAAATAAATTTTCGAAATGGCTACACTTTCAACTATTTCTAAAAGATAATCTGAATTATATAGACATTATATGCGAGTCTAGATTATGTCTAGATGTTAACATTCTAATTGGATTATTGGATTCAACACACCCTAGATTATGTTTCAGTCTAATTGTTGGTCTGTTTGGAATAATATGATAACATCCAGAAGGAATAGAACAGCCGAAAACGAAGCTCTGTTGGGACAAAATAAATAGTTCAAGACAGCAAAGAGAAGTCAATTATGAACTGACTTAAACTTCGCAAAGTATGCACTCATCTCTATCAGCTAATACCTAACCTGTCGGATTGTAGGAACCGAGATCGTTATGAATGATCTTATGGATATAAAATCTCATTATTCGACAGATGCATGCCATAACTTGAATTCAACACGTTATTCCAGATAAACACGTGTTTCAAGAACAATAGATTTTTCAAATAAAAACGTTGATCATTGCGAAATCGCCATTTCTATACTCCACAACAAAATTTCCAGAAAATGCTGATCCATGTATATATCCATTATTTATAAACATGAACCTTTCATTATCAGTCATATCATATAACATCCAGATGAGTTCTGTACATCTACCAGGATCACATTACACATCACCACCAAAATATCTGAAATTTTCCATTTCAAAGTGGCGGCCGCATAAGCGGCATAGGCATCGCTTCGTTCAATCATATATAGATTATAATCTATGGTTCAATGGTTGGGGCGATAATGATTTTTTGGCGATATTTTTTAATTCACGGTCAAAGTCATGTATTTTGACGAGTATGGACAGAATATGATGCATATTTTGATGCATTTTCCTCGGCTTTTATTGTATACCAAAGATATGCAGGTGTTGTGATATTTTTATATATTTTTTTTTGTTTTTCGAGTTTTGCCACCGACTTTCATCAACACATCTTATGAAATCTCGATCATCACAGGTCTTCTAGTTATTTATTAAAGAATGTCGAATAGAGTGTGTTGGAAAAACAAAGTTTCAAATCTAGATTATTCTTTCATTTCAATATTTGCCATATTGTTGGAGACAACTAACTCATGTGAAGTTGGCGCCGTTTTTTTCGAAAAACTCAATTTTCTTTTTAGTTCTGAGTAGATTTGATAGAGTTCTAGAGTCCCTGACTAAAATTTTGAATAGTTCCAGCAAATCGTAGGTGTCATTCATTGGAAAAAATAAATTTTGAGCGCTAACTTCACGCAGCGCCGTTTTTTTCGAGAAAATGAGTTCTGATATATTTTTTTGTTGTATTATAAAGAGTTCTGGAGTTCTACACCTATTTCATCAATAGTTCTGGTGAACTAAGGAAATTATCGAATAATTTAAGGAAATTAAATACGAAAATGTGTTTCTAGCCAGCATTTTTTGGTGAAATACTCGGTGAAATACTATTCCGTTCTGTTTCGTATTGAAGAAAAAGCTATCGAGGAAAAAGGAGGAGGATCATTAGGAAATGTGAAATCTGAAAAAAACGAAGAAAAAAAATCAGCTGTCATAAGGTGAAAAATTTATTCCAAAGAACAGGACAGTTCTGATGGGAGTTCTGAGTAGCGCTCGACGAGTTCTTCAAAATATTCTTATTCTGTTTTAGTGACCAATCGATACTTCTTCATTCATCAGCTGTCATAAGGTGCTGACCTCAAAAAACTAGCATTTTCGATAAAAAATTCATTCCGTAAAACAGAACATTTCTGATGGGAGTTCAGAACTCCCATCAGGACTATTCTATTCTTAAGTAGCATTTTTTTATCGAAACTTAGTTTTTCAAGGTATGCTCCTAATGACAGCTGATAAAAGAAAAAGTATCAATTTGTCACTAAATTAAGATATGCACCTTATGACAGCTGATAAATGAAAAAGTATCAATTTGTCTCTGAAACACAATTAGAATAATTCGAAGAACTCGTCGAGCGCTACTCAGAACTCCCATCAGAAATGTTCTGTTTTACGGAATGAATTTTTTATCGAAAATGCTAGTTTTTTGAGGTCAGCACCTTATGACAGCTGATGAATGAAGAAGTATCGATTGGTCACTAAAACAGAATAAGAATATTTTGAAGAACTCGTCGAGCGCTACTCAGAACTCCCATCAGAACTATTCTGTTCCTGAGTACTGATTTTTTATCGAAAATGTTAGTTTTTTAAGATGTGCACCTTATGACAGCTGATAAAAAAAAAGTATCGATTTGTCACTAAAACACTATTTGAATATTTTGAAGAACTCGTCGAGCGCTACTCAGAACTCCCATCAGAACTGTCCTGTTCTTTGGAATAAATTTTTCACCTCATGACAGCTGATTTTTTTCTTCGTTTTTTTCAGATTTCACATTTCCTTATGATCCTCCCCCTTTTTCCTCGATAGCTTTTTCTTCAATACGAAACAGAACAGAATAGTATTTCACCAAGAAATGCTGGCTATAGAAACACATTTTCGTATTTAATTTCCTTAAATTATTCGATAATTTCCTTAGTTCACCAGAACTATTGATGAAATAGGTGTAGAACTCCAGAACTCTTTATAATACAACAAAAAAATATATCAGAACTCATTTTCTCGAAAAAAACGGCGCTGCGTGAAGTTAGCGCTCAAAATTTATTTTTTCCAATGACACCTACGATTTGCTGGAACTATTCAAAATTTCAGTCAGGAACTCTAGAACTCGTATCAAATCTACTCAGAACTAAAAAAAAAATTGAGTTTTTCGAAAAAAACGGCGCCAACTTCCCATGAGTAGACAACTAGTTGTAAAGTCACGAAATTTTGTCCGTATATGTTCCATCATTTTGGGGTAGAGTTCTTTTGGTGTGGTTGTGATAGATATTATCAATTCAGAGCAATAAAAATGTTTTCGGAAGGTACAAAATTTCAAACTATGACAAGTCCTGTAGGCCAAACAGTTGAACATGGTTGGCCTTAGGAAATAGGGCACCTGGACAATTTATCGGAAAGTCATGAACTCATGAACTACCTATATTATGATAGGTGCCAAATTCAACCAGATTCTTCAGAATCAGTTTTGCATAAGATAGAGGAAGGTTTGTTAATTGTTTTCTTCGATATTATTTTCAATTTGGCTGTCCGACTTTGGCAAGGAACTTTGTTATCATCCAGTTCAAGATATTACCCCATGTCGCAAAAAAATATTGAAAAAACAGTCTTTGCTTCTGATTCATAGATAAATTCACTCATTAAATATATGGCAATATGCCATGAGAGATGTTGGTTGAAATAATCTTGAAAATGCTATAAATGAGAATCAAGATTAAAATCCTCCTCATAAAATCATGTGTCCTATTAAGTTGATATGCAAAAATTCAACATACACCTTACAGCATAGGTATGCTACTCATCTACCCACAACTTATTTAATCACCCATGATTTCTCATACCAACTAGGTACTTAATTTACAATTTACACCTCCACAAAATCCCGCAAAATCTCAAAATCTCTGACAAAATCAGTCTGATAAGAACATGATCGATCAGGTATCTTGGAAGGTTTGTCAATAGTTCAATTGGAGGATTAACTATCATCTAGGTAGGCAGGGAAAATACAAAAAATGTGTTATACTTATCTACCTACTTTTAGTAATAAATAATGATGGATGAGAGGAAAAATGTCCACTTCTGATAATAGTAAGGATAATAGGTATAACAAATAATTATAATTATCATACCTGAACCTGAATAATTATAATTTGAAAATATACCAAATTGGTTACTGTTCTAATTATATCAACTTTCAATTGAGGGTTGGGGAAACATTATTGACTAGTTAGGTAAGTAGGTACCTACACAGGTATTATAGAAAGTTGATTCAAAATACCTATTCAATGGTTGGTTCAAAACTAAGCACAACACAGAACAGAAGTATTAAATAATCTTGTTCAAGAACAAGAAGATAGCTTGAGATTTCATGAACATACCGAAATGACCTTTCATATCATTTTATTTCATAGATAGAAAACCAAAGATTTGAATTCTCTATACCTAAGTACATACAAAATAAAAATGTGCCAAGGAATAATTACACACACTCTCAGTAGGAACAGGAAGTATAGGTACTTAATTATTATATAGATATCAGAAGATTATGTAGCAATAACCAGTTCAAGAGTTTCGATTCATCAATGGTTTAATTACCTTACTTCAATAAACAATCGTGACCTGAGAGGATCTTGGAAGACCAACAGGAAGAAAGTCATGCATGACAATAATTATAAATCTCATAAACTCAGAACTCACCCCTCTAAACAAACTTTCTTATACTAGTTATCACAAAGTAAACTATTTTAAACCAATTTATTCCCAAAATTAGAGTTTACACTTTTACAGTCATCAAACTCTATTGGCATTATTGGCAAGGCAATTCTCATTCTCTGAACCAAATAAACAATCTGTCTGTCTACTCACTACTGTCAGTACTGTCACTAGTGTCACTACTGTCTTGTCCGTTGTGGTCATTCATATATCTACTATATCTATAAATGGCGCATCGCCTATACGATATCTCAACAAAAATGGGACCAAAATGAGAGGTTCTTTTCTGATACCCTTGAGATTTTCCGCAGCACGGCAGCAAGCTACTAATTGAATGACTGGCAAGAGACGTTTGTATTTCAAATCTCAAAAACCACGATCGTCTCGAGTCAGGAAGGAGCTGTGGTTGTTGGCTTCATTCTGTTTTGGCCTAAGCTGACCTGACAGCAATAAATGTGTACATTCCCTGAGCTGCCCGAGACGTCAAAGTGTAGTGTCGACTGTCGATGTCATGATTGACAATCATCATGTCGTCATGTCAAAACTTACAAAGTTAGGTTATGGTTAGAGTTTGTGATCAGCTCATTTAATATAATAATAATAATAATAACGTTTGGTTGAATCTCTTGAAATTTGTGTATGTTTGTGTTTATTTGTATGTTGCCTTTCCAGCAAAGAGAGGGCAACACATTATTCACTAATAGATTATATATTCGAATCCACTAGACTGTCTAGGGTTGCCGAGAAAATGGGTATGTTATTTGAATAACACTGCTGAAAAACCTTTGGTAATCGTAAATTTTATAGCGGTCACCACAGGTACATCTTTCATACTAGCCTCAATAAGTTGTGTCCTGACATTTTCGGGAATGCAAATGTTCAAACCCTGGTTCAGTTCTTCCCAGTTACATACGGTCCTAGGAGGATATTTGGGTTCACTACTATTTGTATTACTCCTAACTGCCATAGGAAATCTAGAAACTTGGTTATCTGGTAAATCCTATCAAATAAAACTCTTCCCAGAAGGTAATTTTGAGTAGCATAACATCTTGAAATGATGTGATGAGATAACAAATTCATATTCTTTTGCAGTGTCTCTATGTTTGTTGGTATCATTATTTGCATCTGCCACAATTCATCGTGTATGTGGAACATCTTGGTAAGTTAATTCTGGACGTAATTAGTGTTTTATTAAAGCCAGTTTACTATTTCAGTCTTCTGATATCATTGTGCGCCTTATATTATTTGAATAAGTATTCTCAGAAAGTTTATACTGTTCAAAGTGCTCCACCAGTAGTCCAGAGCGGAAAAAAGAAGAAAAACAACTCATAGAAGTATTCTCTCAGCATGTGTGTGTGGGTGCTTTATTTTCAGGTCTTTTTATGTCATGATTTTTGATAATGTTCTACATTTTGTAATAAAGTTTCTAATATCACTTCAGTTTTCAGTTATTCTTATGAGTCATGCATATGAATTTAAATTACAAACATGGCATTTGTTTTGCTAAACAAGAGGCTAAAACTTGATGTGTATAAAACATTGAAAACACCAGGAATAATGTTTATTGTGAAAATTGATCAATAATCTCTCATTGTTCACCAGGTCACCGAACATATACTTTCAGACACCTGGTTCACTAGCTTCTCATTTGTTTTTGTTTTTTCTTCATTTAAAAAGATTGCTGCCTATCATCAATGAAGTTTCAGTAGTTCTGGAACTTGAGGTCTGGAAACAGGTATGTAGGACAAGAAATAAAGGCATAGGTTGTGTTTTCAAATAGTCTTGTCACTGATATGCCTGCTCGGCTCCAAATTTAGTATCTTTTGTTGATGCTGAAAAAGATCCTGTATAATAGTTTCTGTATCAAACAGCAGTGAAAACCTCATAATTATTGAAAAAGGAAATTGGCAGTCAATTATAAATAAATGTTTTTTTTGCAACTGATTTCTTGGAAGTTAATGACAAGTTGAGTGATTAATAGAATGCAGGTCAAGGAAGGTAGAAAAAGAGAAAATAGAAGATTATATATTGAAATATTACTCATATATTTATTTTATATAAGTGAGGAATGACAATCCCAAATCAAGTAAAATGAATAGGAGATTATGGGTAAACACAGTGAACAGGATTAAGAGTTTTGGGCATTGAATTCAACTAGGTTGTTGGTTTCCCAGGCTGTAATTTACATGATATTATAGACTGGCGCCCTTTCACGTGGGGTGCTGAGATCCGGAGATCTTTATTCTCTGGTGAATTGGAGGGGCTTAGGTAGGAATAGGTATATTTATTGATCATTAATTCATTATGTTCATTAAATCATAATTAAATATTTACCTACAGTATCTACTTAGTCAACTCTTTCCTCGTCTGTATTCTTTCTAATTTTAGTCTAAACAAAGGTTGATTCTACCCATTCACATAAGAAAGTATGGGTGTATGTATAATTTGCGGACTGGAATGAAATTCTGCAAACTGGCTATTTCCAGCGAAACATTTTTTTTATTGCATATCTTGATTCAGCTCATCGAATCACACGATTATATGTTTCTGATTTTTTCACTGCCCCCCTGGAAAGCACTTACTCGTGTTTTTCCATAATATCTTGCGGACTGGGTATTTTTGCAAGCAAATCATCTCAATTTTCCCAAAAATCGATTTATCTCGAGACAAAATACAGGATGAAAAGTTTTCAAAATGTTTTTGCGATATATGTGACATCTCAGGATGTGACGTCGACCGATATGGACGATGGACGATGGCGATGAGAAATCGGGGGATTCAGTATCGAGACGTCGGCCAAGACACATTCGGTCAAACTAAATTCCTGCTTGCCTACCGGCATTTTTACACCACAGTTTCCATAGCACCCCTAAAGATCACGCTCTTATAACTTGTGTGTTTTTTTCATAAAATCTTGAGGACTGATGGGTATTGTTGCAAGTCATATCATTTCAATTCCCTCAAGAATCGATGTATATACAGGGTCGCTGATATGTATGGAAACAGGTGAATATCTCGGTAACCTGTTGTTGGATTCTTTTGAATATATGTACTGTGTGATTTCAAAACGTGGCAGATTTGAAAATGTTATAGCCAATGATGCCACTTATTCAGTTATACCGGATTTTTTATTAACTTCCTTATTTTGAATAGAACACCTTGTAATTTATTGGATTTTCAGATTCTCCCTGAAGAGCTAATTCCATCGATCTATCACACTTGGGGTCTAGCAGGAATGAATACATAGGTATAGGGTGTTTAAAATCTAGATTTTTCAACTTTAGTATTTTTTTGTGTCGAAACTATTCATTATCGATCAAAATCGCTCCAATGTTCCAATCTTTACTTCTGATTTACTATCTACTGTCATTTAATTGAAACAAATACAGGGTGGTTCAAGATTCAGAATTCTGATCACCCTCTGTATCTGTTCCAATTAAATAGTCAGTAGATGGTAAATCAAAAGTGAAGATAGGAACATTGAAGCGGTTCTGATCGATAGTGGATAGTTTCTGCACAAAAAAATCTTGAAGTTGAAAAACCTAGATTTTAAACACCCTATACCTATGTAATCATTCTTGCTCGACCCCAAGTGTGATAGATCGATGAAATCAGCTCTTCAAGGATAATCTGGAAATCCAATAAAGTACAGGGTGTTTCATTCAAAATAAGGAAGTTACAAAAAATCCGGAATAACTGAAAAAGTGGCAACAGAGGCTATAACATTTTCAAATCCGCCACGTTTTTAAATCACACTGTACATAAATTCAAAAAAATCTAACAACAGATTGCCGAGATATTCACCTGTTTCCATACATATCAGCGACCCTGTATAATGAAAATACATTATGTTGTTTGAAAATTTTCCCTAGCCCTCCTGAGGAGCACTTCATACTCGTGTATTTTTTCATAAAATCTTGCGAACTGGTTATTTTAGCTAGTCAAATCATCCCATTTTTTTAAATCCAATTATCTCTTGAGAATACACGAGAAGTTTTTAACATTTTTCTCTAGCCCCCCCTGGGGGGCACTTTACTCGTGCGTTCATAATATCTTGCGGACTGGGTATTTTTGTAAGTCAAATAATCTCAATTTTCTCAAAAATCGATTGATTTCATGAAAATACACGATGGGAAGTTTTGAAATGTTTTCCCTATCTTCCCTGGGAAGCAGTTTACAGTGTGTTTTTTCATAAAATCTTGCGGACTGGGTATTTTTACAAGTAAAGGCGGATTTAGCGGGCGCACAAACACAATTTATTTCATAACTGTAATTTTAATGTATAATTCATAAAAGTTGAACACTGTAGTCCATATGAGATGATTTATCCAACTCAAAAGTTCTAGTGCACAGTGCATAACATCTCATAATACATAACCCTGAAGTTCACAATTTTTAACTTTTATGCATTACACATTAAAGTTACACATTGTGCTTGTGCATTCGCTAAATCGGCCTTAAATCATCTCAATTTTCACAAAATCGATTTATCTCATAAAATACACGATGGAAAGTTTCCAAAGTTTTTTTACAGCCCCCTGGGGAGCACTTTACTGTGTTTTTTCATGAAATCTTGCGCGGGTATTTTTGCAAGTCAAATCATCTCAATTTGCTAAAAAATCGATTTATCTCATGACAAAATACGCAATGGGAAGTTTTCAAAATGTTTCCTGCTTAGCCCCTCTGGCGAGCACATTAACTATCGTGTGTGTTTTTTTTAAATTTTATTGCGAACTGGATATCATTTCTGCTAGTCAAATCATCAAAATTTTCTTGAAAATCGATTTATCATGAAAATACACGATGAAAAGTTTTTGAAATACATTTCCTTTCCTAAGATTCCTTTCGAAATGCAATAAATGTGGAGTTCTTCGCTTCGAAAAATAGAAGCGTCATCGAGAAATGGTGGATGAACTGATGGTTGGTGCATCTTCTGAGATTTTCACTTCAGTCCACTTTAGATCTGGACCCGCATAATCGATGTGAATCCTTTTCCAATTCAGCTCAGGAGGATCTCACGGGTGCATAGGAACTTTTGGGGGGTTTGATTTTATCATAGATTAAACAAACAATGTTTAATCTATGATTTTATCAAGGCTCATATTTCGCAGCATTTGACCATATTCGTTCTATATCACGGTCAATGTTTGGCCAAAATACATACCGACGTGCGATTTGTTTCATCATAGTATTCATAGTCATCCCCAAATGCGTATTATGGAGCTCATCGAGAACTCTGGTGCTGTCTTTTCGAAAAATTATGCCATCAACCAAGGTATATTCGCCATCTTCTGATGTTGTAATGCGCCGGGGTTTTGACAAGCTACATATACTACTTGTAAAAATATCATTTGTTGTAGTTTTAAGTTAGTGTAAGATGTGCGCGATTTACTGCACCGAGTATATACTTCGTTTTGTTGTGCGAAGTGTAGTTTTGGCAAAGAGGTAAGCACGTGAGGGGAAGGGAGATGTTTTTTGCCTGGCGACAGAGTGGCAGTTGCGCTAGAAGAGTCTAGCGATAAGTATACATTGGAAGAATTACAGAGACCAGTGTTAGCCGTCCCTCACGATCAAGGATCGAATCATTGAAGATATCGATAAGAGAGTGTAGTTTTGACAAAGAGGTAAGGACGTGAGGGCAAGGGAGATGTTTTTTGCCTGGCGACAGAGGGGCAGTTGCGCTAGAATAGTCTAGCGATAAGTATACATTGGAAGAATTACAGAGACCAGTATTAGCCGTTCCTCACGATCAAGGATCGAATCATTGAAGATATCGATAAGAGAGTGTAGTTTTGGCAAAGAGGTAAGGACGTGAGGGCAAGGGAGATGTTTTTTGCCTGGCGAGAGAGTGGCAGTTGCGCTAGAAGAGTCTAGCGATAAGTATACATTGGAAGAATTACAGAGACCAGTGTTAGCCGTCCCTCACGATCAAGGATCGAATCATTGAAGATATCGATAACCAGATTCCAGTCCCAGTGAACATAGTGGTACTGCGAGTAGGCAGTTTCTGATGCTGGTTCGACTGATTCAGGAAGTATAAATACTAATACCAGGTGGGCTTATTACTGAGAATATATAGGTACAACTAGTCAAGTTGGCTGCTGTATCGATCTTTTCCATGAAAAAGGAACATTTCTTCTGGTTAACATTCTTCAAGATTTTGAGCACATTGATTATATCATCAGAATACGCTTCAGATTATGGAAGATCGTTGAGGATCTGCGATAGAATCCTATTGAATTCAGCTGGAGCAGTTTTGATCCCATAACTCAAGCGATTCATAAAATAGGTTTCCACAATGTGTGGATATAGTTCGAATTATACTGCTATTCACGTCGACATGCAGATGTAAGGCCTTGAAGAGGTCAAGCTTGCAGAAATACCGAGAGTTGCGATAGACTGTGAAGCACATCGTCAATTCTTCGAATAGGCGTGTTTGCTTGGTTTAATCGTTCATTAACACCACATTTGTAGTCAACGCATAAGCGTACTCCTTCCATCAGGTTTGGGAATGATGACAAGTGGAGAACCCCCAATCAGTGACAGCAACAAGAGATATTGTACCGTCGGCTTCCAGGTTGTCCAATTCCTTCTCCACTAGCTCACGAAGCGCGTACGGAACATCTCGCTCTCTGCTGTAGACGGGTTTGGCGTCTTTACGAAGTTGAAGGAAAACTTGGAAATGCTGCACACTGCACACATCCAACCTTTTCCAGGAAAATCGAAGAAAAATGATATCTTCAGTTGAACAGTTGATCTAATCGAATGAACACGAGATATTTGACTTGGAATTTTTTTATCTGCGTCAATTTGTCGAAGTTCAATTCTGAATCCTCGTATTCATTGACGACCTTGTAATGCATCGCGTGTCTCTGGTACAATATGTAATCCACCTAGGATTTGCTTTTCCTTTCGGTTTGATAATATTGCCTGAGTAAAATCGGAAAGCAACAGTCGAAGGTTCTAGAGGCACCTGGAAGTCATTTTCAGCAATCAGAAAATTCAACACCAGAATCTACCTCGAACCATTGAGGTTAAATCCATTCAAATTCACTGAGATTAGATAATTGGCGGAATCTGGGGTCATTTCATAAAAATCGACAACATTGAAGGGTTTTATTTGGTTGAGTCCATATGAGAAATCTGTTGAGCAAACGTTCTGAACTGAAGACGACTAGAACTGCTAGGTAAACGATGTGAGTTCCTTAACAGTGTTATTATACATACCTTTCCTAACGTGACCTGCCTTCTTACAAAGATCACATGTAACGTTTGAACAATTTCAATTTTTGATGCTTCCAAAATGCATGCAATGGCTATGGACAAAATTTCATGTTCCCGTAGCCAGTCATCACGTATGCCTCTAATAAATTGTGCTCTGAGGAAAACATTACCTATTGAAACTGCTGCGTTACATTCATACTTCACGGAAAACTCGCATTCGACTATGTCTCGTTGAAGAGCAGCAACAAATTTGGCAATCGTTTGGCGATTCTCCTGATGAATGTTGAGAAAATAGTTCTGAGATACGATGACGTTACGTTTAGGAATGAGCATTTCTTTGAATGATTGAATTAACAAGATCGTCGTAAGGTAGATTTATTTACTGGCTTCTCGGGGCCTAGGCAGGCTGCTAAGCTGTTGACCCAATTGACACGCATAAAAGTTGGTCGATTTTTAATTTATCAATTTCATGGTGTAATGATTTTCGAAACGTTAAAGATAACATGAAAACATCTCACGTCTTGGATCGAAATTTTCAAACGGCACTACATTCGAAAAACTTATTGGAAGTTCGGAACGCTGATGTTCCGATCGAAATCTCTCCCACAAGAGTTCAAGAATAAATCAATGTTTCACTTCAAAAAGTCAACTAAATTATTTTTCTTTCGCTAAGTAAACTCTATTTTAGAATTTAGAATAGATAATAATGTTATACTTATACAGGGTGAATCTGAAAGTGAGTTTTTTTATTTAACAGGATATACATATATATATATATACAGTGTGTCCACCTTAAGGACTTACCACCCCTGTAAAATCGTTACTATCCGACCAATTTCAAAAAACCTTTTTTTGTTGGATAGGTATTTGAAATGCCCATCCAACGAGAGGGTGATCTAATTCTTGGACTGTTATCGTGGCCAACTGCGACAAATTTCAATGACCCATATTCCAGAAAGTACTATTAGGGATTTTTTTCCACGAAACTTGATGATGGATTCTGAATCAGTACCACTTGAAATATACCTATACCGATTTTCATCATCATAAAACACAAGGTGTCCGAACAAACGAACCATCATTATCTTCAAATAGGTGATCAGCAAATGTAGTTCTGTGGTTTTTCTAGAAAGAAATAATCACAAATTATCATTGAGGATTATTTCAAATATACCTGTACCAATTTTCGTCATTTGAATATACAATGTGTCTGATGAGAAAAAAATTAAAAAGGATAGGTAAGCAATATTTTTCATCCTGATAATTCTTCACTCAAAATAAAAACATGAATCAGGATCACTTGGAACATACCTGTACCGATTTTCATCATCATTAAACACAGGGTGTTCAAAAAATCAAATAAATATTTTTTTTGAGTTGATGAAAAAATATTGCCTACTTTTTCTTTTTAATTGTTTTCTCATACACATCGTATTTTTGAATGATGAAAATCGGTACAGATATGTTCGAAGTGATCCTCAATAATAATGTGTCATCGATTCTTCTCAAAAATACCACAATACTACATTTTCTGATCACCTATTAAAAAAAAAACATAATTCGTTTTTTCGGACACCCTGTGTTTTATGATGATTAAAATCAGTAAGGGTGTTTTTCAAGTGATCGTGATTCAGAATCCATCATTGTTTTTTGTGAAAAAAAATCCCTAATAGTACTTTCTCAAATATGGGTCAATAAAGTTGGTCGCAGTTGGCCATGATTACAGTTCATGAGTGAAATCACTCTCTTGTTGGATGGACATTTCAAATACCTATCCAAAAAAAAAAAGTTTTTTGAAATCGGTCAGATAATAACAATTTTACAGGGGTGGTAAGTGCTTGAGGTGGACACACTGTATATCTCGCCAGAATAAGTTGTTTTGCCGAATGCTTCATTTCCCTTCTAACGTTTTTTTGATTCACTTTAAAACGATAATTAATAGGTTATAAATGTAAACAGAGGTTTTTGATTCATGTTTCTGATGAAATAATGCAACTGTGGGGTATCTAATGTTGGACTAATAACGGCTTTTTTGCGTTTTTTTTTGAGAAAATGAATACAAAATATTTGGTCTTCTTTAAAATATTAAAAACCTGTACCTCCTTTATCTTAAATATTTTTATATGAGCAATTTTTATCCAAACAACTTATTTTGTTCTTCAGCACAACTACTTTGGAATTTTCAATTTTTTGGTCGACAAGGTATAATTTAAGGGTAATTTGTTACCGAATTGCTTTTATTGTTCAACGTGAAGCCAGCAAAAACACTTTGGAAAGATGACTGATTATACCATTGGAATAATCCTGCCTCAAATCGTAGCCGTTTGCTTTTTGAAAAAATGTGATGGGCTTTGCTAGCAGAACCAGATCTCAAATAAAAGGAATGTAAGAAAAATAAGTATATCATATTTCAATGCTATTTTGAGGCTATTTGTTATTGATGTTTTTGCTAATTTTTTTTTCAAAAATGTTCACACCCTCAACATGGCGCCAAAAATCTGGCTAATCAATCCTCAATATTCATGGAATCGGTATAAAGACCTATTTTATACTCAATACTTGAGGGTTATGTTCAGGCTCGTGAAGCATTCATCTTCAATTCACATTTCATACATGGTGGTTCGGATAAAATATAAGCAGGTTCTAGTAGCATGTAGCACACCCAAAACTGACTTCCTGGTTTAGGGAAGATGATAATGAAATGATTCTCTAATACAAGTATTCATATGTATATATTAGTGCATTTCAATATCATTACATGAAGTAATATAATTAGACAAAAATATGGACATTATTTATGACTGATTTAATTTTTTTTATACAAATTAGAAAATTAATAATTGGTTTTTGCATTAGATTGCTTCGAATTACATTTTGTTGTTATGAAAATCTATTAAACATATCCACATATTATTTTCTTCATTTTTGATTGAATATATTCGGAAATACATTCATAGAAACTTGTCCTCTTTTTATAAGCACAGATACGAAATTATGCAAAATTTGTGCGCAATTTTTCAGTACACAACTGCCCATAATATAAAATAATTATCAAACTTTTCTCATGAAACAGCTTATCAGCTCAAAATTTTTCATCAGAAGGCCCCATTTTGAACAAAGCATATTATTTGATCATGAAGGAAGACGACTCTGCATACACATCTTTGATAGGCACATTTGTCAATATGTATAATAGATTTCCAATTAGTATTGAATGTCATGTAGGAATAAATAAGTATAATAACAATAAACTTAATAAAAACAATATAAATAACATCATTGTAGTACCATCAACAAACGTAATGACATGAAAATGATTCACACAGGCGTATCGAAAAATACCTTGCCTTTCGGGACTGCTGTTATCACTAGAGGATACCCTCATTTCATGGATCATCAGGAATTCAACCTGTAATATTAAGAGATTCATTAGACAGCTCCACAAACAAGTTTCACAAAATCTAGTGGGTTATCGGAAAGTTTTTATTAGATTCAAAGGAGTACCTAATAGGACTGAACAAAGGAAATCTAACGATCCTACGTTAATGTAAAAAGTCACTAACTTAAGAGTTCCAGGGACACTCGGAACCCTATGCAGGCCATAGTCCAATCGGAGAGATGTTGAATCCTGAGAATGACTCATTTCGTGTTGTGGGTTCAACCCAAATAACATTTCTGATGGTTGAGCAGTCCTCCTTCTTATTTTTGAACGACTCGAATGTGTGTGCGACTGGTGAGATTCGGAAACAGATAAACTGAAATGGAAAATTGAGCAATTTGATACACTCATTACTCTTATCTCCTGATTACTTACTGCATATCTAAAGGTGCAGGTGAAGAAGATCTAGAGGAGTTAGAACTGGTAGTATCATTAGTATTACTTGATATACTAGTTATCAGCTCTTTAGAGAATATAGGAATTTCATTATGAAGTACATGATCCAATAGTTGTCCTTTTACATTGTTTTCTTGTTGTAACTAAAAAAAAATAATATCACATAGTAGGTATCTCTTGTATTTCATCTTGTTGATTGTTACCTCTGCCAATGTAGCCTCATTCTCTTTAAGTCTGGCATCTCTTTGTGCAACGGCGTGGCTTTGACTTAACGTCATATTATACAACTTCTGAATGATATATTTCGCTTCATCTACATCCTGGAGTGACGTTACAATGTGCTGTAAGTCGGTATCTTCATGTGGATCTTGTGTTTCTTCGATTTCCATCACATTATGCTGTGTCTCACTGATAGTTTCCTGCACATAGTTGATATTCTCCTTTATATCCTCGATGTAACTGTCCAACTGAGTTGTGTCTTGATACCTTCCAACAGCTTGTTTTCTCCTTTCTTCCAAAGCCTCCAATTCCTTACCTAAAACAATGCATCCATTTAAAAAATCATTTCTGAAGAAATCATATTCAAGTCAAACTGATCTAATGACATTTAGATGAATATAGTTGTCTTATGATGAAACGACTTTCACTTGCAAATATAGAGTAAGTTGATTCTTTTTCATATGAAAACAATATCTTGGATATCTTATTTTAGATATTTTTACTATTTACTGATCTATTATCTTTAATTTTCATGATCCATCTTGGGAAAGCAATAATTTGCAAAAGTCCGAGTACCTTCCATAAGTTTGGTCATAGGAGTTCATATTTACATGATATTGACATACTTTGAAAGCATGTAGTTTCACACTGGAATCAATAGATGGAATAACAGTAGGTTTTTCTGTCTGTTAAAAAATCACAAATATTTTCCTTGGAGGATTGAAAATATCAAACTCACCTAGTACTTCACGTTTCTCAAGAAAATGTTCCATTCTAACTTCTTGTTCAACAAGCCCTTTTTTGCTCAAGGTGATATTATTTATTGCTTTTTCTACTTTCAGCCACTTCAGCTTGGCAACTTTTTCAGAAAAGTGTTTGGTAATTCGACCAGCAGCTTTGTAACTAAGCCGTCCTCTTTGATTTTTCCTCAATACTGACACTTCTTCTTGTTTACGTTTCAAGACTTGGTCCTTAATTTTTCTTTCGTTTTGCATTGACTTGATTACATTTGCATTTTTTCTTGATTCTTTACGGAGCTGGGCGATTTCTCTTAGTCTTCTCAGCTCAGCTTCTTTGTGCTTTTGAGATTCTTCTTTCATCTTGTTTATCAGCCTCACTTTGGTTCGTTTCATCTCCAGGACCTCATTCTTATACGACTTCAGCTGATTCTCATATTGACTTTGACTTCTTACTAGCCTAGCATGTTCCTTCTGTGCTGCTTGTAGCCGCTTCAATTCCTTCTGCATATCTGACAATTTCTTGGTGTACTCATCTTTTACCTTCTTGATTTTATCTGACGGTTCTGGGTGTGCACTGTAAGAATGCAAGATTTTGTCTCTCTCGTCTTGAGTAGCTTGAATCCTAACTTGAAGCTGCTGAAGTTTATCTTCATAGTGTTGTCTCATGGTCTGCATTCTTCGCTGTGATAGCTCTAACTCATCGATTAATTTTTGTTTCATATCTATATCATTGGTAAGGGTGATGAGCTCATTATTGAGTTCGTTGTGAAGTTCTTTCTCATCGCTCTCACTTTCTGTATCATTATCAGTTTCACCTTCTGTATCATTCTCCATTTCAATTGATCTTCGATTGAGAGCTTCCTTCTCTCTTTGGAGATCCAACTTAGCTTTTGTTATTAGCGAGGCGTGTTCTTCAATAGAAGAATCTAACAAAGACAGATGTTGTAGTTCGTGTGAACGTGTTAATTGTTTCCTCAGTTGTTCGCAAGTGTTGTTAGATTCCATTAACTTTGCTCGTAGCTCCTCTATTTCTTTCAAATAGCCTTGAACCATGTAGGTGACATCTTGTTCACTTCCAGGTGCGCCAGAGATCCAAGCTCCAGTAACCTTTTCAGCTAGGAGATTAGTATTTTTCAGAGTAAGGGCGTCTATAGTGTCTTGCATGGCTTTAACTCTTGTTCGTAAGTTATTGACTTCACCTTGCAGCATATTGTTTTCGTAAAACATATCGTTGACTGTTTCCGTGCCATCTTCTCCTACTATACGTTTACCCTGTTTGTACTCTACAAGCTCCAGCTGCAGCTGGGCTATCTGCTGCTTCAGCTGTGCTATAGTCTTCGAACTCTTATCCTGATTAATAAATATCTTATTCTTAATATTACGCGCCCTGTTGGCGTACTTTAAAGTATTCAACGTCTCCATAAAGTCTCTATCACTAGGACTGACGCAAGCAATCATCACAGTTTGGCTATTGCCACCGAGACTGTCCTGCAACAGCCTGGTGAGCTTAGAATCTCTATAAGGTACGTGCAATGCCCGCTTAGTCTTGTCTCCTAAAGCTGAAATAACGTTTCCTAAAGCTAACAGACCACAGTTGATCGAAATTCCTTCTTTTTGTCGCTCCCCTGTGGCTCCGGTCCTCTTCAGTCTCTCCGATCCTGCTAGATCGACAAAGTGGAATTTGGCACTTAGGGTCTCGAACTCATTGGCTGATTCGTCTTCGGAAGGAACTAGTCGTTGTTGTTTGATGTGTAAGGTGAATATTGCGTGTGATCTCGAGGACTGGGTGTTCATCTGAGTGCTGGCCGTCGTTCGAGACAATGCCCCTATCCTGAGGCACTGTAGGGCTTCTTCGGCAGATACGACGGTTTTGAATGTTACTCCTTTTACTTGGATGCCACCGTAAGGATCTTCGTGGATTTTGTACACTTTGTCCTGCAAAAAAATAATTGGTGAAGTAGGTCTTATTATTTTTCTCGCATCAATACTACAAACTTGTCAAACTAGTCAAGATTTTGGTGTTCCGAATGCAAATCGAAAGTATTTCAATATACTGGGGACCAGGGGAACATAGTTTTACTTTCGTGATAATACATTGACCCTTCGGTAGGAAAATAATTCTAGATGATGCATGATGCATTCTAGATGACGAAAGTTTTTTTGATAACTTGTTCGATTTGCCTGAAAATGTACGACTTGCAAGTTCAAGTTTCAAAATTCAAAATTTCCCTTCATTATGGCAGACAATTTGTCATATTTCTTGTCCGATTTTCCTGAAAATGTACAAATAGTGGTTCACATGTTCCAGAACCTCAAGATTTTAACAAAATGTTTTATATTATAATATGTATGTGAGTGGTTTATGAGGATTAAAAATCTCTAGTCGAAATTTGAAAATGCGGAAGATACCATAATTTTGTTGTTCGTTTTACATGTAAATTCAAGATGGTGGACGATATTGATGATCTGGAAAAATGAAACTGAACATTTGAGTCAACTCTCGCGTGTTCATGGTGAGATGCTTTGATGCTTATGGCTTGTAAAATCTTACTTAGTTTCGAAATGAAAACAATATCCAGCAAGTATTTGTGAAAAAAAATATATTCAACTTCTTACTGAATTGAAGTATGTTATTTGCAGATATTTCAATATTTTCTCTCTTCAATTTCATTCATTTTCGTGTTGAATAAGATGTTCATCAACATGACCTGCTTCCGCTGTGTTTTTTTATTATTTAATTCGTTTATCATTCAGACTTGGTGAAATGTCAAATAACGAATTCAAATGATATATTAATGTTCTCAAGTCAGTTACCTATCTGTTCAATAAAGATTTTGTTTCAAATCTGAGATCATTTTTGCATGAATTTGATGAGAGGACAGGAATGATTTGTACCTATTTAAAAAACATCTATTATGAAATAAATAAAAATATCAGCTGTTACCTATACATATTATAATATAATACGTAACATCTCTTCTGTTATGTTAATTTCCATCAATTTTCAAAACGCAGCTGAATAATTCATGATTGTGATTACCTATATACCAACTGCAAGCCACGTAAATGCAAATCTATCATGTAGTATTGTTTAATAATAGAACAACTCATTATTAAAGAATTATTTCATGCGATTTACCTATAAGGAAGTTAGTCCTATGAATTGTATGAGGAAGAACTTCCTATGAGGTACTGATACCTAACCTACACCTTCTCGTTTTGTATACAGGGTGGGCCACCAGTAACGCCTCGGTCTTTAGAAGGCTAACCACTCATCTTGTTGAAATTCTTCCTCTTTAGGACATTGCTTGTCAACATTGGCTACCATTTGAAATTATTCCGAAACATACAGGGTGTCCAAAAAAAATCAATCCACTGAATTTATACTTTTTTCAATGGAACACCTTATATATTATTTCATTTCGAGATTCTCCCGGAATAGCTGATTTCAACGACTCATCGTACTTGGGGTCTAGCAGTAATAATTACTGAAATATAGGGTGTGAAAAATCGAGATTTCCAAGTTCAGGAATTGTTTGTGTCGAGACTATTCATAATATCATATATCGGTTTTTCGATAACTCCTTTAGTTATTGAGATAGCCCGTGAAAACGCCCAATTTTGCCCACCCTGTACAAACAGAGAGTGATGTTGAATTTAATCATTTGAAAATGTCGATTCGCGCCTATATTTTCAGATAGGTAGGTACAAATGTTTTTACTGATCTGAAATACACCTTCATAATCTACGATAAACAACTGATGAGTCACAGTTATTAATGTGTTGTAATTAACAAATATCAGGTATTTTCCTACAGTATCGACAGATCCCTATTCCAAAATGTTTGTTGTAAATTTAGCATATATATAGGGAGTGACTCCCACAGTAACTTCAGATTTGATTAGGCGAGTGGACTGATAATGAATTATTGTCATTTAATTACTCCACTGTGTAGTTACGGACCTAAATTAATTTTTGCTACACTTTATGTAAATAATGAGTCTATGCGTTGTTCAGCATTGCTGAATTTCAGAGCTCATTTCAAACGTACTGTCATGGCCGCCATTCGGCGATACGTCGAGTAAATTGCGACGTCAGCTTTTATGTTGTTTCGTTATTGGTCAGATAATCTTCCATTCCCACTTGTGAGGCAAGTTTATCAAGTCACCAATATTATATTTCATTCTTGACTTTTTCGAGCAACATGCTGTCCAAATATTTCTTATACTCCATAACAAAATATCATGGAAATGTTGGAGACTTGGCAACATTGTGCTGAATACTGAGAAGGGGCAAGAAAACGCCCACAAGTCGTGCCCGCCGTGTTGTCACGTTCACCGCTTCGAATGTCATCTAGTGTGAATTAATATAATTACTCAAAAGGAGAAAAACAATAACTCTAAGTCGGTCGACCGACCTCGGTAGAGTTATTGTTTTTCTCCTTTTGAGAAATACTGGACCACTTTGAGAATGGATGGTTTCCATGACTTAATATAATTACTCTTCACACAAATGTATTATAAGCAATATGCCACGAACCATATAGGAACATAGTAGTGAATTGGGCGTCCTGATTCCGAATCTGAAGTGATCTTCAACCTATTTTGCCTCCTTATATAATTTTCCGGAAATTGGGGTGGTTCCATGGATATTTGCGAGCAGTGTGTATCACTGAAGATGACCCCACTTGGTCATAGAGTGCATTTTTGGTATATTTCTCGCTCCAGGATCCTTATCCAACGAATACTTAATATACGTGGGTGTTTCTATTAGAAATGAGACACACTGTATACCTAGTATATAAGTAACACACTAGGATAGAACATTTAGGTTAAGTCTTCTCCTGAAGATGCTAACGCAAAGGTAGCGAAACACGTGCCGAGGCGTAAACAATCGGTTTGGTTAGTTGTGAAACAGTGCGTAGTGTATTATCCTGCCAAAGGTTACTGTTTTCGATATATTTATACTCACTTTACTATAGGAGGGATTGAACAAGTCGATAACTTCTTCATTATAAAGCTCCATGAATTGTGCCGTGACTTTGAATTCCGGCGGCAGCATACCGCATTCCTGAGCCTTGTCGATTCTTGTATGGATGCCATCGAAAAGTTGGTGGATGGCCCTCGGAATGATGCCCTTCTGCTCGTCTTTCACCTCCACATCGAACCCCGAGCCCATGGTATAGGTCTTGCCCGAGCCCGTTTGTCCATAAGCGAGAACAGTGGCGTTGTACCTGGCAGGAAACAATCAAATTTGCATATCTTATTGAAAACGCTCCCAGGATTCAAATCATGTTGACAGAATTGCGCCTACGAAGAAGTCGGCCGCAGCAGTGGCGAAACAGAAGAGGTCAGAGAGTTCTACTCGGAGTTCTAAGAAATCAGGAGGAACATATTTGTGATTTGGTCGGATTTGGTACTTTCTGATGGCCCAATTATTATTCTCATTAGGAAGACGCGAGAAGACGAGACGATAATTTTCATTTTTTTTTTGGTGAATTCAATAAAAAAGATGAGAGATAGTCAATATACAGGGTGATTCGAATAACTGATTCATTAGAGGTTTATAGAGAACTGAAAGAGATACCAACCTGAAAATGTTGTTGCAGTCACAGCGTAATGGATCTATCTCTGTACCTGAGAGCCAAACTGTATTAACTCCATTTTTTCTCAAATCGGTATCAAGTTCTCTTCCTACTAAAAGACACTCGCTTTTTCACATGGAATTATTGTATCATTAACCTTCTTCGAGCAAGAGAGTTGATTTTGTTAAAAGAACTCAACATGTGTGGACAAAATACAGTTTTTCCGAGCAAGAGAGTATTATGAAGTTGATTTTGTTATAGAAAATTTGTAGGTAAGGACATAATACAGTTTTTAGTGCCTGTATTATGTGGGACGAATCCTTGTCAGGACGTGGGGCAAATCAAATGGCTTCTGGCATTCTCAAATGGGCAGAGACTTCAAGTGAGAGCGTTATTGTCTGGTCAGATAACTCCCAATTCCAAAACCGTAACATGATTATGATAATGGCATATTTTTGGATCTTAAAACAGTATCCGAATACAAAACAGATTGATCACAAATTTCTGCTACGTGGTCATACGCAAACGAAAACGAACCCCATTTTTGAAAGTGATGACGCCCTGGGAATGGCAGTAACTCGCAAGGCTGTGTTGTCGGTCAAAAACATTCAATGTTGCTAATATGGAAGCACCCGATTTTGAAAATTTTAAATCTTTGTACACTTCTTATAGCTCATCCTTTGCTGTACGTAAGAGGACTCAGAAAAGTGAAGATCTTCGTATTTCAAACGTGGTTCTCCTATACAAGCACGCAGTGAAAATATAGGTGTATTATTGTATTTCAAATCACATTTTGAGGCAACCACGTTTGAGTGTGTCGATCTTGAAAGAAATAGCAGGCGTGTTGTTTTTCCTGACCCTTTTTCTCAAATTCATGAGCAAGCAAATGAAATTTCGATCAAGAATTATAACCACTTACACTTTTGACTGTCCTGGATTCCAAGCATTTTTCACGGTTTTTATAAAAATTTAGCTCATTCTGATAAGACAACGGACGATATTCAATAATCAACAGTATTTAGCTTCAGTTTCCTGTCCTTTTCTGACCTTGCAATCATTAAAAATAAATGATTTCAGAGTACATTCACAGTATTTTATTGCCCATATTAACTCTATTCTCATTTTAAAAAAAGTATTCAATACAGTTTTTTGTAAGTTAATACAGTTTGGCTCTCAGGTACAGATCTGTAACGTCTGGTTGGAGACGAAGTAATATTGACTTCGTCTTTAGAAAGAAAACTACCTGTATTTTATGGCATTTTCGAATTTTAAGTACGCGGAAATGACATCGTATTGAAAATATGCGCAAACACAATTTCAATTCGTAGCCTGTTTCAGTTTTCCACAAATCTCCAATATCTGAACTAGATCTCATAACTAGCAATTGTCAGCAGGAGCGAGACAGTACTGTTTCGGCCCACCATGCCTCATCAGCCGCTCTCGGTCTGCTGACAACAGGGACAACTCTACGCTTCGGGTATGGTAACATGTCACTTGATCTATGGTCATTATATCCGCGAGATTAAATCCATCCATCTACAATCTACAAATCCGCGAATCCTAGTAATTATATCCGTAACATATTATTTTCGCGCGACAGTATATCCGTGGCCTTATATCCGCGTAATAACTATATTCGCATGTCAATAGCCAAACGGCTATATATTCTGCAATCTATATGTGAAGAAAGGATACCCTTAAAAAAAATATCGATTTCACCCTTAACCCTTCCAGTATGGCAATGATGAATGCGATTTCGAAATTCTGAGCTCGAATTTTGATAAACCATCAAAAGTGTATGCGATCTACCAAATCACATGATTTTCGAATGGATGATTGCGGAAATATTGAGGAAAAACTGTCTTCAGACTGTCCCATTTGAATGGGCGTAGTCGAGGGCGTAGTTTCCTCAGAAGAATTTCTCGACAAATATTTATGGGAGCGTTTATTCATGAAATTATCTCAGAATTTCTCACGAATGCGAAAACACCCTGTATAACTCGTATCATTCTGTTTTCTATCCCTTATGCCCTATTTGTAGTCGATTGAAAGTTAAAAAATAAAGCTGCTGAATACGATAAGAACTTGGTATTGGATTATATAAAAAATAATGCCCTTATACAGTGCTTTCCTTTAATGTCTCGCCCTTTTATTTTTTGAACGGGTCTACTGAAAAAAATTGAAGCTTGGGGTAATGAAATCGATGCATGAATACTATATTTTGGAGTGAAATTGCCAGATGAAAATTTCAAGATGGCGACTGGGCATCATCTGGGAAAACAATTGAATGGGAAGGGGGTCTTTCACCTATTTTTGAAACACCCTGTATACTTTTTTGAATAGAATGTTAGAAATTCTATCAAAATAATGACAGAAATACATCAAAGATTAGTGAGTTCACTGAAGCAGAAGAAAATCTGTTTGAAAACAAATGACATACAAAGAAAACCCCTAAATATTATTCTTTCGAATTGACGCCACGGTTCATTTTTGCGAGAACGTCCCTGTCCCTGTAATGAGTAAGAGTGCCAATAACTGTTATTTTTTCCTAATGACACGTTCTCTGTACTAATCAATACACGTCAATTTCCATTTATCTATACCATAGATTAACGACTCCCCTCTATACTAATATTATAAAGAGGAAAGATTTGATTGTTTGTTTGTTTGTATGTATTGATTTTTTATCCCAGTACCATTAGGAAATTCAAGATGGCGGATCTAATACATCGGACGAGTTTTGTAATTATGGTCCGATTCTATTCAAAATTGGTATCTGGGGGATTTCCGGGGTCGGAGATTATGACTCTTCCGTCAGAATTTGAAAATTCGGGCGGAATTTGGAAATTCAAGATGGCGGAACCAATATGGCGGACGAGTTTTGTAATTATAATCCGATTCTTTTCAAAATTGGCACCTAGGGGTTTTCGTGATCGGGGATTATGATTCCTTCGTCAAAATTGAGAAACTCAAGATGACGGATCCAAAATGCCGGAGTATTGTAATTATGAGCCGACTCTCTTCAAAATTGTTATCTGGGTATTTTCGGGGTCGGAGATTATGATTCTTTCGTCAAAATTGGGAAATTCAAGTGAACTAAAAAGAAGTTGAAATAAACCACGTTTGCGAGGTCTGCTAGTTGTATAATAAAGTGGATGTCAATTCGATGAAGGTATACTAAATGGAAATATTTATTGTAAAGGTAGGTACAATTTCATAGTGAAAAAATATTGATCCGTTCTTTTATCGCATAACTACAGGCTTCAGGAATGAATCTCGTAATGAATTGCAACCCAGTCAACCCACTCGTATGAAGAGGTCATACGTGTTTTCAAGCAGCACATAATATTCTGAATGAGAATGGAGAATGGGCATAGCTATTAACGAATCCATTGTTCAGCTTGTAAAGTGCGTTATTTTCTCATCCATAAAAAGCCGTTGATTCCGATTGGCTGATAGCATCACACAATACACGTGGTTCAGGTGAAATGCAGCTGATGATGATTGCAAAAATGATATGGCGGAATCTGACGTTAATCTCATAATAAGATAAATATGTGCACAGGGCGATATAGGCGATACGATATTTACATTCGATATGTCGAACATTACTGATAATGTATTGATCTGTTAGGCTCAGCTTTGCAGAAGAAAAACCCAATAGTTATTAATTATCTACGTATATGCATAAATATTTTCATAAGATATCACTTGTGAATATTGACGGATACCTTTACCGTTAGATTGGCGAAAAATATTGATAATTAATGCGAAAATATTCATGAAAACAGATCAAAACTGTTTATTCAATAGCTGAGAAATTATAATATTCATTATGTAGTTTTATTGATCCAAATGACACCTGGGTACTTAATCAATAATTTAATATAGTCTTGTCATTAAATTGCCACCGATTCAAATTGTCTTTCTGTTTCCCTTTATTAATTTAAACGGAATTAATCAAACGCAATTTCCTGGGTCAGAATTGCTCTTGATTTGTCCCTGATTCGAATGATTTGAGATTAATTGTATAATGATAATAAGTATAATAGTAGTACCTAGTAAAACTGATGAAAATAAAGTTTGGTCCAGGTAAAACATAAATAAAATTCATGACATGGCTTCAAGAGGCAATAACATTGCTCCCAGCTCTCGTATCTCTAATAAAAATATTCGAAAGAATATTCAAAAATTATTTTTATTTTGGGAAACAAAGAAATTATCGAGGATTTTCATCATAATATCAGTATGGAAATATACAGGGAGGCCCTTTGAAAACGAAACAGAAGCTCTGTAGGCCGCCAAAACAGGATCATGAAAAAACTCTGACACACGTCAACTACATGTTCTAAAATATTTTCAGCCCTACGGCGTTGTCGCTTCTAACGAAAAGAAGCAACAACTTTGTTATTTCAAATGGAACACCTTGTATTTCATTGTATTTTTACATTCTCCCCGAAGAGCTGGGTGCCAGGGCATATCGGAGTGGAGGGGAATGAACAAGCAGACACTCTGGCACGACAAGGAGCATCAACGCCACTGATCGGACCAGAGCCATTCTGCGGCCTTGGAAATTTCTATTTCCAAGGAGAACTTGAAAAGGCAGAAAGAGCCTTGAGAGCCAGACAATGGAGAACCGAGAAAGATCTAAGACACTGATAAACCTCAGCAAAGGAAGTTTCAAAGCAATAACGGGTTTTCTAACGGGGCATTGCAGACTCGAAGAACACCTAAGGAAGCTAGGCCTCAGGAAGACGGCACCTGCAGATTCTGTGAGGAAGAACCAGAAACACCCCATCACATACTGATGGAGTGTGACGCTGTACATCAGAAAAGATTGAACATACTGGGAACACACCAGCTGAGTGTGGAAGAAATACCACAACTAGATCCCCTCAAAATCCTCAAATTCCTGAAGGAATTGGATCTTGAGGGGCTAGAAATCCTTGATATAGCAGAAGCAGATGGGGCACAATAGACCTAATTAGGTCGCAGCGCATCTGTCATCATCCAACCTACCAATACCAATACCAATATTGTGGATTAGTACAATAATGAACAAAGTGATCACGTCTCAAATTTTTCTTACCCTTCGAGGGACGATTCAACTAAGGTGGCCACACAGTTTTCGTGAATTTCCACCTGTTCCGATTCCATATCGAACACATAATTGTACGTGAAGGACTTGTCATTTCCCAATGTGACTTGAGGTTCGCCTGGTGTTACTGTGGTGCAGACATGGCACATATCGATGATCTCGCGTGGTGTCTGAGGACGGATCCTGAAAACAAAAACGGTGAATTGGTTAATGATAACGAGCGGATGCTTGAATTTCTGTGCTGTTTGTTTCACTATTGACAATCTTTATCAGATACGATCAATGACACCAAGAAATTATGCTGGACATTTTGTTTATCAACACAATAGTAGGTATGTGAGTTGTTGGCTGCAATATATTGATTGATTGATTGATTGAATCACTGTGATTAGTGAAATAGTAAATATCCATAAAATATAAGATTTGTGTAATTTTCCTATCGTCTACGTGTTAATTGACGAATTATAGTCCAACAGTTTCTCGAAATAAAAGAAAAACTGTTAGGTATTCACATAATTTTCTGGTCAAACTGCCAAAAATGGCATAAACAAAAAAGTTACGTTACAAACCGGGCATAAAAAGTTAGGTGCATAATAATATGTACAAAGTTTGGTTATTTCATCACAAAGGGTTTCGAGAATATTTACAGGAAACCATGATTTCGCGCTCATCTTCAGATGGCTATAACCCCCCAGAAGGCCATTTCACTTTTTTGTTCCTAGAATCTGTGGTTCAAATCTCTCTATGTAATTTCGGAGCACCCCCTGTATATACGATATAATCCTCGACTGTACCTACAATAACTATACTTTGATTCTCAGCACTAATGAATATTCCAACCTCTCGTTCCAACCTGTTGTTGATTTTTTCATAGTGGGAAAATGTGATCTTTAATTGGGACACCTTGTACATTTAGACATGCAACTTTATACCATTATAGTGAAGTTCGTTGAAAGATAACAATAAGATAAATATGAGAATTTGCTTAGTAGGCACTATTGTGCACGATTCATTGTTATAATCATCAATTTCGTCATTTTCACATGTCGTGCGTAAACAGGGAATAAAAATACATACATATTTACGTACAACTCTGCCTAGATTGTGCAATGTCTGACAATTTTATGGCAAGTCATAAGAATTTCTTATCATGGGAGGAGATCCATCTTACCGTGGAGTGGACGAAATTCATGCAGTCTACTCCACCAAAATAATACTTTAATTCTTTAAAGTAAGCAATGGGGAAGACCACTGAGAGAAGAAATCCGTGCAAACCTCTTTCAATCGACGAATCATGATTTACGTTTGATGTATAATCAATATAATGAGTTGATTTAGATGTATGACAAACTGACATTTATCATACAGGGCGTGGAAAGAAATTCTGAATTGAGAAAAACCCAATCACGAATCTGCGATTGAAGGTCTATAAAAATAACAAGTTTCCATCGTTCAAGTTTGAACCCCTTGATTGGGTATGAAAGTATTGAAAAGGAATATTCTCAGATATATTATAAACATGTTTATAATATATCTGAGAATATTCCTTTTCAATATAATGAGTTGAATTTGAAGGGAATCAAATCTATACCGTTTTGAAATCAGCATATTTCGTTCGATATTTCAAACAGCCAAATATGATGGTGGAGTCGTGACGTATTAGTCCCGAACTGTGGCTATCTCTCTCTGATACCTCGTCATTCTGCAGTGTTGCAGTGTGATTGGTCAGTTCAAGGACAATAGGCGTGTTGGGAATAAGACGTCGCACCAGTCACACCAAAGAATTGACAACATTTCAAATGGCGCAGGAATTGTGTGTTTTGAAATGGACATATTCTAATTTATTATTTTCATCGTCTTAGCATGAATGACGAAATTCAAAATTAATTCGCTGGTAGTTTTTCAGTATAGAGTTCACGATAATGTCATTTTAAAAAATCTGTGGTCTCCTCCATTCACGGGGACACGTCTCGAAGCTTCAAAGCTTCATCATCAGCATTTAGCTACATGAGAGCACTGTTTTGGAGGAACGAATTATTTTCACATACTTATTATTGTAAAAAGATTGGATAATTACTAGTACATATTCGAAGGTGAAAGATTAGAAAATTGGGTTAGAGAACATAGTGAAATAATCCAATTGGAGTCAAATCGAGTTACAATTTTTCTTGTTGAACATGCCGACGGCTTATAATCGACAAAAAAATAAGATATCAAATATCAAAATTGTATGAATGGAATTCCATCGAAAATAAAAATTCGTCATGTTCAACAATTGTATGATTCCTATCCTGCATACTTTTTTGAATGATTGTCTTGATGGAATTACTGGCCTCAACACTGCCTAACCTAACCTGACCCTCAGAGGTCTTCCACCAGATCAACATCAGAGCACACCACAGTATGGAAAATATTTGATACAAAGAGATGAGGTGAGTAGATATATCAGTAATTGTATACAGGAAGTATTGAATATTTACAATTAGCCTGCTTGTTGAAATAATGGCGATGAGGCGAGAAAAGGTAGGCAATGAATACACTTGAAGCTTCTTCAATAGCAAAAGGGTGGTCCTACTCAGATCGTATAGGTGAAACTTCCTAGCTTGAAGGGATCGTCTAGAAAGGCAATAATGACTTTCTATGAACAATTTTCTCTAGGTAGAGTCCTTCACCAGCAGGATTGTAAGCTCGTGGAGCAAATGATTTGCACAACTGTAAGAGCTAATTGTGTAACACGCAGGTCATACATATTCGTTTGAATGATGAACTGCAGGTCTTTACACATTTGTATTTTGTTGTAGAGACCTTGAAGGAACTAGCCTGTCATATTATAATGAGGAGTCAATAAAAGAGCTATAACTAGCCTAACTATAAGTTGGAAATTGGAGCAGGAGAAATATTCTGTGAGGAACGTCACCTCCAGATCAACATCACACGATACAGTCCGTGGAAGCTTACAATACAAACATATAAGCGAGCATAAAAGGTTAGTTGATATCACAATAATTTATTAGTTGCAGGAACTCATAAGTGTTGAATATCAGCAATGAACCTATACAGTCTGTTGCATGAAAACCGTTGGTTGATTTCTGGAAGTTGGTGCCGTCCGTCCACCTTTCATATTGAAATTCGCTTGAAATATCCCCGGGCAGTGGAAATCTTTCTGATAATTTCTGCAATAACAGTCCATCACAGGTCAGAAACTCGAATGAAAAGAAATTGTTAAAAGCCAGAGGAAAGGTGTTGAAGTGATCCGCATGAATGTCAAAGGAATGAGTCATGATAGGGAGTACAAAAAGTGTCAAGGTCGTACAAATTTATCATAAATTCATCTTGATTTGGCAATACTAGATATGTTCAAGTCATTTTCTTCAAATGGAACGCCCAATATTCTGAGTCGGATTTGAAGTAAACGATAAATGTCCGAATGACTTTGTTTTGGTTATACCCTGATAGCAGTTTCAACCGTTTCCTAGAAATTCGTATTTTTATGCAAATCTAGTTTTATGTTAGGTGTTCTATTTGAGACAATTGATTTCTCAAGTGTTTCTAAATCAGCGTGAAATTTTGAGCACTCTGTATGGTGTTATGATGTTTAGGTGGCCAGGTAGCCGCGCGGTCGAAGCGTCAATATTCTAATCCGCGTTCGCTTGCCGTCGTGGGTTCAATTCCCCGCGACTGCAGACCATTTTCCGAGCCATTTTCTGATGGCCCAAGAAAGTGCTGGGGATCAAACGCTAAAAGAAAGGTAAGGACCCCGTCATTCCTTGCTCGCACAAGTCTGTGGAAGACTTCTGAGGGTCGTTGCTCGTAGGGGGGCAACCGAATGACGGATAGAACAATTTAAGAATAATTTTTGAATAATTTTTAGGAACTGTATACTTCCTATTATAATTCATTTCTTCGACATCCATATGGATCACTTGAACATCTCCTGGCTTTTGATACCTTCTTTTCATTTCATTTGTTTCTGTGATGGTCTGATTTGTTCGATGACCTTTTCAGTTAATTGTGGGATATGAAGTGGAACGGACTGAATATTGAACATTGATACTGATATTGTCATATAGGGTGGTCCTTTTGTAATATCGAAGTTATGGCCCACTTCCGGTATAAGCGGAAGTGAGTACCTAGATTTTGTAAATATTCAATTCGACTAGCAAACAATTTTCAATAATCAGCCTGTTTATAACCATTATAACTTTCATTGATTTTGCTTTTGGGTGTATGATAAATTGACATTCATCATACAGGGAGTGGAAAGAAATTCTGAATTGATTTCTTGATAACATATCTCCGGGAACCTATAACCTCTAGAAGTTGGAAATTTCCCTTTCTTACTACCCTACACATGAAATTCCAGGAACATATAATATGATACCTACTAAGGTTTTCTCGAATCACCTTACTTATTTATATCAGTTAAAAGGTAATTGTCTCTAAACAAGGCTCTCCACTAGTAGATTAGGAATTGGCGGAGTAACCAATGTGCACAGCTGAGAACAAAGAAAATCACGAACCTTTTAACAGGATAGACAAAGAGGGAAATTGAAGGGTTCTCAGAAAGAGAAATGCGAAAATATCTTCTTGTCAAAATAAGTCAAAATATGAAATATCAAATTTGGAACATGTGCAAATGAGATCTACCACAAAGCGAATCATATAGGACTTGCGATTCGTTGACAAACTATCAGAAGAATTAAAACTAAAATTACATAACAATATGCCCGACACCTGTTTCAACCTTCATTCATTTAACACCACTCTTTTTATTAATTCATCTCATTATGATTAATATTTCAACATTCTGAAAGTATTGACTAATTATGATGGATACGATAATTTTCATGGATGATGGTGACAAGGACACTCTAAGTCTGAATATGAATAAGAGTCCATCAAAACAAGTTTTCAGAAGTAATTAGCGACTTTTGCCATTTCATTAAATTCATTATTACTGGTGTAAAAATATATATTTGATAATTATTGCTTTTGATACTTATGTCAAACAGGGAAGTACACGATCGATTAGTACCTTGGATTCCTCATGACTTTTGCTGATGATGATAAAAAAGATGATTGTTGAAAGTCTAAACTGAATTAATGATTAACTGAGATGGTGTCATAGTGTTTGGGGGCCTTATAGGTTGTGGTTGAAGATTAATTTATTGCAATTTTTTTTC